TTTTTTTTTTGAGACAGAGTCTCGCTTTGTTGCCAGGCGGTAGAGTGAGTGCCGTGGCGTCACCTAGCTCACAGCAACCTCAAACTCCAGGGCTCAAGAAAAGCTTCACCTTTAGCAACAAGGTTTGACTGACTGCAGCCTAGCCCTGCGACATTTCCTGGATGAGCAATACACTGATAAAACCATCACTGCTGTCAACACGGCTTCCACGGAAACTCAGACAAAACACACGCTCAGGAGGGTCCCTGCAGGGAGGGGAAGCTTCTTTCAGTGCCTGGCAGCAGCGAGCACACACTTCAGCTTCCATCTCTCCCCCTATATCCAGAAGTGAATAGTCCTCACTATTTGTTGGGTATATGAACCCAACAGATGAAAGAAGTAACAGACACGATGTGCTTGCTCCTGGCAAAATCCCCGACCTGCCAGAAAGCTGCAGCAATGCCCCCGGCCTTCGTGCACTCCTCTCCTGCCCGCTGCGATGGACTGAAACCCTGTGCCACAGTGTGAGGTATCAGGAGGTGGAGCCTTTGGGAGGTCAAGGGGTCATGAGGGTGGAGCCTCGCGAATCAGATCAGTGTCCTTATAAAAGGGACTCCAGAGAGCCCTCTGGCTCCTCCTTCCGCCACACTGCCGTACGAGGAGAAGTTGGCACTGTGCATCTTGGAGGAGGGTCTTCACCAGAACCCGAGCTTGCTGACACTCTGACCCTGGACGTCCAGCCTCCAGAACTGAGAGAAGTAAATGTCCCCATCTAGGGTGACTTGCTAGAGCAGCCCTGACCAGACGCACTCAGAAGGGAAGGCTTTGCAGAAACCACAGGTCAAAAGACCCATCTTCTCTGAGGACTTGGGTAAGGAGGCCCATTTGTGTCCAGATGAGAAATCAGGGAACACCCAGGCCTTGGACATCACCCCCTTTTTCCAGTGTCTCTCAGGAGTCCCCTCCCAGTCACTGTCCTGCTGCAGCCCGCCCCCCCACCTCCCCTGGCAGCCGGAAGCCCCTTATGTGTGCGTGTGGCTCCACCAGCCGCTCTGTCAAAACTGGTCCGGCGCATGCACCAGGTCTTTGCAAGTATCTGCAATAATGTCACTGAGCAATTTCCTAGGGGTTAATGCAGGTGCTTGTTAATACCTTTACATGCTACCTATTCAAGGGATCTTTTAATCATCACCAAGGCCTTTGGAGACATAGATTCTAATGGTGCCACTTGGGAAGTATGTGAATGAATACTATTAATAGAAAGATGCTGCCTTCCTCAAGCTCATTAGCTAGGACCAGAGACGGTAAGTGACCTCATTTAAGTCACACGGCTACACTGTCTACCCAAGCCCAGAGGCAGCCAAGGGATGAGAAGTTTCATTGTCGAGGTAGACTATAAAAGGGCAGTTTTTAATTTCTCTCACTTGCCTTCTCTAAACTGCTTCCAAGTCATTTGTGACATCTTGGACCAAAAGCCAGAATCCTAGTGAGTAGCCCCCACTCCGGGCCCTGCACCTACTCAAAAAGCACCTCCATCTCCTTTCTGTTTTCAAAGGACCAGAGTCACGTCTTAAACACTCTCAACGTCAGTGCCTGTCTGGCCAGCAGTTTGTTACGGCACAAAGCGCCAGCCAGACAGTTGGTTAGTTAGCTTTAACAATGCAATAGCACCCGCAGAGCCGTTACCCCAAACAGCCAGGCCCTGCACCATAACCCTCAGCCAGCCGGACATGCCCCACGGTCATCCTGTCTCTCTGCCTCCCCCAACCTAAAGACGGTCACCCTGAATCCTGTTTCCATCCTTCCTTTTCTTTCCTTTTTACATTGCTTTATTGTGACTAGGTGTATTCCTAAAAAGTAGCTTTTTTTTTTTTTTTTGAGACAGAGTCTCACTCTGTTGCCCAGGCTAGAGTGAGTGCCTGGGTCAGCCTAGCTCACAGCAACCTCAAACTCCTGGGCTCAAGCGATCCTCCTGCCTCAGCCTCCCCAGTAGCTGGGACTACAGGCATGGGCCACCATGCCAGGCTAATTTTTTCTACATATTTTTAGTTGGCTAATTAATTTCTTTCTATTTTTTTAGTAAGAGACAGGGGTCTCACTGTTGCTCAAGCTGGTTTCGAACTCCTGACCTTGAACGATCCGCCCACCTCGGCCTCCCAGAGTGCTAGGATTACAGGTGTGAGCCACTGAGCCCGGACTAAAAGTAGTCTTTTAATTCTAATTGGGTTTTTTTGTTTTTTGTTTTTGACACAGAGTCTCGCTTTATTGCCCAGGCTAGAGTGAGTTCCGTGGTGTCAGCCTTGATCACAGCAACCTCAAACTCCTGGGCTCAAGCGATCCTGCTGCCTCAGCCTCCCAAGTAGCTGGGACTACAGGCATGCGCCGCCACGCCCAGCTAGTTTTTTCTATATATTTTTAGTTGGCCAATTAATTTCTTTCTATTTTTTTAGTAGAGACGGGGGTCTCACTGTTGCTCAGCCTGGTTTCGAACTCCAGACCTTGAGCGATCCACCCACCTCGGCCTCCGAGAGTGCTAGGATTACAGGCGTGAGCTACCGCGCCCGGACTACTACTAAAAGTAGTACTACTAAAAGTAGTAAAAGACAACTAAAAGTAGTCTTTTAATTCTAATTGTTTTTAACTTTATAAAAAGAGGCTTTCTGTAATCTTTTGAAATGTTTTCACTTAATTTTATACTATATACTAAGATTCATTCACAATATGGTGCACCTTTTCAGTTTGGTTATTTGAATGGCTGAGTAACATGCTATAAAATCTGCATGGCTATGTGATCTTTCACTCTGCCCTGTTTATTCACACACTTCACTGTAGATGGTTTTTGCAACCTTGAACAGCGCTGCACCTGTCTCCATTGCTGCTTGCACAAGAGTGCCTCTTGGGGGTTAGGTCTATAAATCATCCAGAACTCAGTTTACCTTCTCCCACCCATGCAAAACCCACCAACTGTCTCCAGCAACTCACCCAACCATCAGCAGCACCGAGTCGGTCTCCTGGGCCAGGAAACTGCACACGTTGTGGTAACAATCTGCAAGACAAATAGTCACAGCGACAGCCCATGAGTAGGGCCTGGGGCTTCCCACCACAGCCCATAGGAAGAACCAACTGACAATGCTGGTGTGGGGTGCGACCTCCTCTCTTTGTTCCTGTTCTTGCCTGCTCCAAAGTGACTCTGGCTGGCCCTGTCAGACATCTCCTGAATGTCAGGGCTCGAACATACCTGGGGGCTCACCCTCTGCGACATTTCTCTTTCAGTGGGGGAAACTGAGGACCAGAAAGGCTTGGCGATTTGAAATGGACAAAGCCAAGACTAAGGAAGTTAGACATGCCGGCCTGGGGAGAATAATAATAATTGTATATGTTTATATTCATTAAGAAATAAACAACGTTTGGATGGGACGTTTCTACCAGCAGAGTGATCCATGTGACGTTCTCAGAAGGCAGGTCCATGAACATGAGTGCCAGGCACAGAATCGCTGCCAGATATACTTCTGTCTAATTCAGTAGTTCTCAACTTTGGCCACGCAGTTTTACATAGACAAGCTTCTGCTTTGCACTTGCACGACTCACTCAGCCCTGTTGGATCCTGCCTTTATGTAAATGCTGACGTCTCGTTCATCACAGGGGGGCTAGAGCTTTCACAAGTCCTCAGGCCCAAGCTGAACCCCGAACCGACTGGATCAGAATCCCTGCGGTGGGGGCTCGGGCATCGGGATTTTCTAAATCATACCAGGTAATGCTGGTGCTCAGGGGAGGTTGCTGGGGTGGGTGCACGCTTCATTGACCCTGTTTGAGGCAGGTGACAAGAGTTCAGAGATGGAGCCGGAAGCACAGAGGGGCTAAACTGAGTCAGCACAGGCAGCTCTGAGTCTAAGGGGCTGTACCACTGGCTCTCAGCTCTGGCTGCACAGTCATGTGGGGAGCTTTTAAAGCACACCGATGCCTATCCTCACTGTAGGTGTGAGTGGAAGAAAAAAATACTGATGCCTGGGCCCTGTTACTCCCAGAGACTAACTTAGCCAGCTGGGGTAGGACCTGGGTACCAGGTTTGATATTAACGCCCCAGCCAACATGGACACAGAGCCACCAGCCATGATCTGGGCCCTGCCCACCTGTCCGACTTCATCTCCCACTCTCTCACCCAGATGTTCCTTCCTCATGCACAGCAGGCCGGGTCTGCGACAGAACCTCGCACTTGCCACCCTTCTGCTTAGACTTAACAGAGCTGGGACTAGGGCCGTGCACGTGAGGCAGCCGCCTTCGGTGCAAAATCGAGGGGGCACCAGGCCAGAAATTATCCTACTTGCTTGTTTCCTCCTTCAGTGTCCAGCCCCCTCCCTGGACCGTCGGGTCCAGGTGGGCAGGGGCTGGGGCTTTCTTGTTTCCCACTGTGTCCCTTGTGCCTGGAAAAGGTCTGACACAAAGTAGGTGCTCAGTAAACACTTGCTGAATGATCCCTGGTTTTACCTTTGGAAATGACACTATCCCTCAACAGAGGAAGGCTGACAGTCCCAGACAACCCCTGGGGGACCCTCGGGCTTCCCAAAGGAAAGAGTGATCTCAGGCAAGGTGGGGCCAGAGGATGGGAGAGACCACAGTTAACTTCTGGAAGAGAGCAGGATGACAGCATTCAGATACGGCATGGCCTTTGCCACTTCACCACCAGGTGGCAGCACACCCCAATCTCAGGGAGGTGATAACGGAGAAATGGCATTTGTGTCGGTGCATCCATCCATCCACCCACTTGCTCATTCACAAACCCATCCTTTCATCCAATTATTCCCCACCCACACATCTATTTATTCATGCATGCATTCATTCATTCATTCATTAAAAAACAAAAATAGAGCTGGGCACATGGCTCACACTTCACTATCAAGCCAAGGAGTTCCAGACCAGCCTGGGCAGCATAGCGAGACCCTTTCTCTACCAAAAAAAAAAAAAAAACTTTTAAAAATAATTTACAAAATAAAAACAATAGGCTTGGTGCAGTGGCTCTCGCCTGTAATCCCAGCACTCTGGGAGGTCAAGGCAGGAGGATTGCTTGAGCTCAGGAGTGTGAGGTTGCAGTGAGCCGTGATGATGCCACTGCACTCCAGCCAGGGCAACAGAGTAAGACACTGTCTCAAAAAAATAAAATAAAATAAATAATAATAATAAAAAGTAAAAACAGTAGTCCAGGCACTGAGGATCCAGCAGCAAACAAAACAGAGGTCTCTTCCCTGCGACCTCGAGTTCCCATTTCCAGCAGGGCAGACAAGCAGCAAGGAGACACAGGAAGGGAGAAGACACAGGAAGGCACAGGATGAGTTCAGATTGTGACAAGTGCCTGGAAGAACATGACAAGGACGATGCCAGGGATGGAGACAGGACACAGGGCAGGGCAGCAGCGTGGGCAGGGAGATTCCTTAGACAAGGTGTCCAGGGAGGCCACCCTGGAGAGGGACATTTGAGATTAGGGCTGGAAGAACGAGGTGGTCAGCTGTGCAGCTGGGGGCGGGGGAGACCCGAGATGGGAAAGCCAGCCTGTCTGGGGCAGAGCCGATGGGGGAGGGAGACAGGTAGCAGGTAGCAGGTGACCGGGCAGGACAGCAGCGCTGGCTCCATCAGTGCCTCCCAGGCTGGGGAGGAGAGAGTTCGGGTTTATCAACGGGCGCAGGAGAGGTCTAAGTTCGGGACTGACAAGCTCCGACTTGTATTCTTAAAAGATCCCTTTGGCTGCTTGGGCTGAGGGGTGAGAGGTGAGTCCCGGAGACCCAATGCTGGGGTGCAGGGGGCCGGCACCCCGAAGGCCAGGGTGCAGCAGAGCTGGAGGGGAGTGGGTTTGGGATCACCGAAGCACGGACGGGACGGCGCAGGCTGTGAGCAGAAAGGGAAGGAAGAGGGGAGGCACCACTCGGCCCCCTGACAAGCAGCCCCGCCGGGACACTGCTGCCCCCACCTTGACCACGATGACCAGGGGATGGACAAGAAGACTCCCCACCCAGGCTGCCACGCCACCTGCTGGCTTGTGCTCACGGCCCTGTCTGGGCTCCCTGCAAACCCCCCAACTGCGGACACCTTTGAGTTCCCCCAGAAAGGTTCTCGAGCACCACCGTGCACAGGGGGGAGCCCTTCCTTTACCAAGCCAGGAACCCCAGGGAACCCCTTACCCAGGCTCCCGAACACCCCGCCCCCTCCGTGGTAGAAGATGATGCCCCGCCGCCGGGGGCTGGAGGACGCTGCCTTGGGCTGGAACAGCCTCACGGGGATGGTCCCAAAACGCAGGTTGGTCACCACGAGCGTGAGGTCCTTCTTTCTGCCCATTCTGTCGTGTAAAAATCGGACAAACTTGGGCATGGAGCAAATTCCCAGCTTCTCAAATATAGTCCCCTGTTGGAGGGAAGAGAAAAGAAACCAGACGTCAGAAGAGGTGAGGACCGGGATGGTAGATGTCCCCGACACCTGTCACTGCTGGGAGGGGTCCACAGGCTCTTGCCTGCCTCCCATACGCACAGGGGGCCGCTCGGGAGCAAGCAATGGGCTCCAGCTTGTGTCCAGGTGAGGGGTTGGGCTTTCAGACTCTTCCTCCCAAAGCTCTTGGTTGGATAATGGTGTCACTTTGCCAAAGAGCAGCCCAGTTCTGGGGGCCGAGTGGGAGGGAGGCATGGACTTGAGCGAAGCCCATTTTCCGCCCAGGCAGCTGGCTGGCTGGAGAGCTGTCTCTCGTCGGCTCCAGGCCGGACCCCCCCGCCCCGAGGTGGCAGAGATGGCCCAGCACCTGCGCCAGCACATCATCGCTCTGGGGCAGGAAGGCCCCTAAGCCGTGCTCCTGCTCAACAGAAAGCAGGGATGCGACCCGTTAGGGCCGTCTGCCGTGGGCTCGGGCAGTGGGAGCAGCAGCTCCAGGGCCACGGATTTGCCACGTGTGTTTTTGCACAGATGTGCTCGCCCTAATCACGAACAAGCAAACACCTGAACATCTCTCGAAAGATAGTTACACCTGAACATCTGAACACCTGAACATCTTAGTTACATAGTTACCTACATCTTAGTTACATAGTTACACCTGAACACCTGAACATCTCTCAAAAGATAGTTACGCAAAGTCGCGTTTCAGATGCCGAGTCCCTTTCGGCCGTCTGGGATCCTGTCTCCCACCGACCTCACGTTAGGAGTGTGTCTTGGTCATAAGGAAAACAGGCCGGGACGATGCTAATGAAAATAAGCACAGGTGATGCTTGTTAGGCACCTACGATGTTCCAGGACTGGCCCAAGTGGTTTGGACTGTTAACGTGTTTAAACTTCTCAACAACGCTTCTCAGTCCAGTGCGGTTACCAGCTGCATTTTACAGACGGGGGACAGGGGGCATGCCAAGGTCAAGTTCCTTGTTCCAGGGGTAAGACGCAGAACCACTAAACCAGAAAGAGCTTGGGTTTTGGAGTCAAGCAGATCTGAGCTCAAGCGTGAGCCCTAGCACCGCCTAACTGAAAAGCCATGGGCCTTACAGTCTCTGAGCTTCGATTTCGCCCGTTTATGAAATGAGAAAGATGCTGTGTACGGTCTGAGGACGAGGCATGAGGGTTGCGTGTGACCACCCATGTGGCATTGACAGGAAAAACCGTTGGGCGGCGGGAGGATGCTGACCACTCCCCGCCTCCCTGCAGCTCCAGCTCCTAGAGTGGGTGTGCGGGCGAGGCCCTCGCCTCCCTCAGCCAGGCTGCTCGCACGATCTTGATTGGATACTTCTTGAATCCCACTGCTGATTGGATGTGAAGGCTTGTTGCTGATTGGATGTTAAGACTTGTTGCTGATTGGATGTTAAGACTTGTTGCTGATTGGATGTTAAGGCTTGTTGCTGATTGGATGTTAAAGCTTGTTGAGGCCTACCAAGGGTAGAAAAACTGGAGGAGAAGAAGAAAGGGGGTCAGAAGTTGATGCTGAGCCTGCTGGGGAAATAAAGGCTGCTCTCTCTCTGACTCTCCGTGTGCCGGTGGTTCTTTCCCGGGTCGAGCGCTGTACCGCTTGCCGGAACAGCATACCTCCCTGGAGGTCCTGGCAAGCGTGAGCCCCACCCTTTCTCTTGCTTGCACCCTGGGGTCTTGTCTTAGCTCCGGTGGGTTGCCCAGTGTGTTCCTTCCATGGAGAGAGCCCCCTGAAAGGAACTCCGAACTAAACAATTATTTTCCTGCTTGAGTTGGAGAAGGGCGAGGAGGCCACCACCTGACCCACATCCGAGAGCCCCAGGCCTTCATGCCGAGTTCCAGCCAACTCACGCCTTCATCTGCTCCACACTGAGCAGCCTGAGGGCACAGCACCTCTTATCGGGGCAGGTCGGCTCCAGCGCTAATCTCAGCTGTGTGTGCCCACACAGTCTGGGCTCATCCACTCCTCCCACTCCTCCCTGCGAGCCTCTCTCACCTGTCCATCACGTGGATGGACACCAAACTGACTTTCATATCCAAGCGCAAGGGTCATGTTCTCACGGGACCCAATCTCCTCCCCCTCCCATGGCGGCTGCTGCCTTCTTCCTGGCCCTCGGTACCCCACCCCGAGAAAGCCTCCTCTAAGGCTTATTGCATGGATAGGCCACCCCTGTTTTTCCTACCACCAAACCTAATGCTTCTCTCCAGCAAAGATCTGGTTCCTCTCTGTGTGCAGCATCTAGAACAGTAAATGTTTGTCCAGGAGATTTTGAACAATGCAAGGTGACATTAAACCTCTCTAAGCATCGCATTCTGAAAGGCCACCAGCTATGCCATGAAGTCACAATGGGGTTTTTTTGGGGGGGGGGTTTTGGGGGGGTTCAAATTAGGAGTCCACATTTTGCACAGCTGGTAGCCGAGGCCAGAGGCAGACTGGACAAAGATTATTATGATGATAAATGGGAACGTCAATATTTTCGAAGCACCGAGGTCTAGAGCTTTAGATAGCCACTGAGACACCTGTGCAAAATATTCCAGCATCATTTGCCCTTGAAAACAAAAGCAATAGCGTCGCTATATTACTCCATCTTTTCGCCAGGCTGAAATCATTCATAGCAACTTCCGAATCTGTAGTGATTTCAGGAAATGCGGTATCTTTGCCTTCGGGGATTCGACAGACGTACTCCCAACAGTCTACTGCCACGGAGCCTCCCCAAGCACACGCAGTGCCTGCACGCCACCAGTGCTTCTCACGTGCAAACCCCACGTCACCTCCCCGGCGCTGCTCACTTTTCAGAGAAGAAAACAAAGGCGCAGAAACTGGAGGCCGCAGAGGTAGCAGCGACAGTTTTGGGGGCCCAGACCCTGGATTGTCTGTCCGGCACCAAAACCAGGCTCTTGATTTCTGGACCATGGACTCTTTTTTAGCCTTTTCCTTGTCCTCACTAACCTTTTTGTTCTTCCATTGTCTGTCTCCTGGAAGTAAACAGACATTAGCCACTTGGGTATTGTTATCCTCATCATCATCACGCTGTGATGGGCAGTGTGCCCTTGGGGGACCCAGGGCTGGAGGAACCCAGAGGGGACCCCGCAAGCAGAAGTCCCCTTCAGAGCCCACTGCGGACCCATCTCAGCGTCTCCTGTGAGCAGCCCGTAGCAGCTGTGAGTAGATGCTGGGCTCGTGGGCTACTCTGCAGGAGAAACACTATAAGTTGGAAAGACCTCGATTTTTCTGAGCCACCTGCACACTGGAGACCCCACTTTTAATCCTGGAGCCCCAAACTAGCTTGTAATTCCACATGGATTGCAGCCACTGGCTTGAAACAGCCCGACGCCAGGGAAGCACGCGACCAGGGTAAGCGACAGAGACGAGTGCTCTCTGCATCCTCGGCCTGACTCCTTGAGTCAGGAGCATTTATGCGATTGGAGACCGGACACATTCACGTCTCCACTAGTGATCCACACCCCTGGAGAGCAATTCCAGCGGCACGAAAGCATATTTTATTTACCCACCAAACATTTCTAAACATGTTAACCCTTACCACGTGACATCTAAGCCTCTTACCAACCTGCTGAGACAGATACTAGCACCCCCATTTCACAGATGAGGAAACTGAGACACAGAGAGGTTAAGTTAATGGTGCGAGGTCACGCAGCAAGTGCGTGGCAGAGCTGGGGTGCACGCAGGCAGTCTGGCTGCGGTCCGTGCTCCTCATCCCTGTGCCCTGCCGTCCAAGCTGAGCTTGGCCTCCTCGTCCCACGGTTGCCCTCAGAGGCCATCAGCCTGAGCAGGTTGCTCTCTGTAAGGTCTCCGCCCAGGATTGGGACATTGGGATTAACTCAAGCTGCCTGTCTCCCACCAAGTGTCAAACTGCTGTTTCCAAATGCGCTGCAGCTCTGGGCATGTGCTAGTCCCCCACCCCCCACCCCGGCATTAACAAGCAGCAAGTGCCTACCAGGTCCCAGACCCTGCGCTAGGGGCCAGGTTTACAGAGGTGAATAAAGTAATCCCTGCCTTCAAAGTGTTTGTAATCCGTGCAGGAAAAAACACCTGTAGGCAAGCCAGGCTGAAAGATGCCCCCGACCCAAAGGAGGTCAGGCCATAAGCCCTTGGAAGGCAAAGTCTGGGTCCGAAATTGTTTTCGAACCCTCAGAAAAGAGCACAGTGATTGGCACTAGCAAGTGTTTGATGCTGAAGGAAGAAAGGGAGGGTGGGAGGGAGGAGGTCAGGGGATGGGAGGGGAGGGACGGGAACAGCAGAGGGAGAGGACAATGTAGCAAAGTCTGTCTTGGGGGAGTCTGGAGAGAGAGAGAGGGAGGGAAGTGAATGAGGAAAATGGTCACACACTGAGCATGAGAGAGAGAGAGAACACCCCAACTTATGGCGGGCCTGAGAGCAACTCACCAAAGTGATGGTGTACAGGAATACACAATGCAAAAATCTCATCTTCGCAGGATGTTTCAGGGCAGAGGGGATCTCTGCGGTGCGTAAGTGCTCGAAGACAACCCAGATGAAGACCCCCAGGAGAAAGGTGGGCAGCACCAGTAGTGGCACCAGCCACAGGGCGGCCATGTCTCCGGGGCCCCGAGCAGCAGCTGCCTGAGGAAGCAGCCCAGGCGCTCGCCAGTTATGCCAGCACTGCCTCCACCCCACGCGCTGGGGCTGAGCTGACCCAGTGGCCTGACCGGCCTTCTTGGATGCAAGCGCCAATGGGCCAATGGTAGCCGGAGGAACCTGTTTCCCTGAGGAGTGCGGGGAACGGGAAGAAACCGATCCCGCCCATCAAGAGA